CCCCAAAACCCCAAAACCCCAAAACCCCAAAACCCCAAAACCCCTGGGAATAGGATAAATAGAGGTATAACAAAATTATATTCAGGTATATTAAATCAATCATGGAACCTTATATGACCATACAAGCCATGCTTTTAAATCAACTAAACCCTGAAGCCCTGCACTACCTCATGTCTAACTGGTGACATCATGAAGTATTAGGCTGGCTAGATGCTCAGCAAGAAGTAACTCAATCCACAAGGTCGTACATTAGCGTTAGAAACACTTCTGGAATTGTAAAAGGTATGCACATAACTTTGAAAACTCATAACATCAATGCTAACTATCCATTAGAGAATTCAAACAAAGTATTTAAAACCAGATCAAGCTCTCAAAACCATGAAGAGAGCAAGGATAGCCCCTTACCTCAATCAAGCCAGCAGATGCACTACGAGACCTACAAGCAAATCAAATCAATCACCACCAAAGACACTCCTGGAATTTCAAAAACTCAGATCTATGAGAAACTCCTCAAGCCATTCAAACACCAGAAAAGAGTGGTCAGGACTCCAGTCACTAACAAAGAGACTGCTGTATACATCTGAAAGTACGAAGGGTGTGACAAAGAGTACACCAAGATCTGGAATCTGCTCGACCACGTCCGCATGCACGAAGGCATCAAGCCTTACCAGTGCGACTCGTGCTCGAAGTCGTTCACGCAGAAGGGAAACCTCAAGAAGCACATGAAGCAGCATCAGCTAAAGACTCTGGGCGAGAGAAAGAAATTCGAATGCAGAGTCTGCAAGAGAAAATACACTGAGAAGTACAACCTCAAGGTAAGCATTATGATTTCAATGCTACTCTAATCGATTGGCTGAGCTACGTAGTGGATTATTTACCTTTGTTATTTGATGTAAAACTCATTTTGTTCTATAGGCTCACATGAAAACTCATGAGTAAACCTAAACATCAATAAATATAAGAGCAATTATGGAGGGAGACAAGGGAAGACATCTAATTATAATTATTCCTAAAAATTCATTGAATCCTTATCTACTTCATTTGATTGCAAATTCAATCGAAATGAACGCATCTGGGAGCTTTTCATAAGATCTTTGAGGAATTTGATGGTTGGGTTTCTGGAAAAAAATATTTTTAAAATTGTTCAAATAAGTTAGAAACGTTGAGTCTCTTTTAGTAATGCATCAGTAAGCATCCTCTGAGGTTATCTACCTGTCTTTTCATGTGTTTCATACCACAAGAACTCTCCAAACAAAAGTTCAGACTGAAACCTTAGATTTGCGAAAACTCATTTAGATGATTGTATCTCTAACTCTATGCATTAAGTTCAGTCTATAATTAAATTTATTAAATTTACCCATTTTGTGTCGTGACTTGATTTGTAATGTACTCACGATAACATTCAAAATAATTTATGTAGTTCTTCTGAAATCTGAGGGATAGAGGTTTACTAGTGTCAACCAATTTGAATCTTGATATTATCATTTTGAATACCAAAAGCCGAATTCCAAATTTTTACCGGTTGATAGCCTTATTTGGAACGAGAGAGACGAGAATGGCCTCTTGAAGAGGTGGGAACATGTTATTTATAGTGGATACAGTACAAAGACTCGGTATAGCTCTCTTGTGTTTATCTCTAAGCCTATCCAAATTCGTCTTCTTGGGAATGTGCTAAACAAGTCTGATACTTGGTTGCGAGATTTCTTAAATTATCTAAGCTAGTATGGCAGTTAGACTTAGGTTTTATTAGCAAATCCAACCTGTGAGCATTCTTAGATGTTCTGCAGATATTTATAATCGAAGGGATAAGAGGCTGTTTACTATGAGTAGGATCTCAATGTTTCTATTACTGCAGAACTTCAGTATTTGGACAATTTTTTTTTGTTGTGATTTTCCAATGACTTTTTCCAAATGTTAGAAATAATTAATTTTAAACTCAACTTTAATGGATACTTGCAGTGCATATCCTAGTCTGAGAGCCAAATAGTGATAGGCTTCTTAGGAAAATTCGCAGTGCTTAGACGTTATGGCTGGAATCAATTAATCGAAGTTTCTATAAAAATCTCTCCTTGGATATTTACCCTCTTTTGGGTAAAAGTTGGGTTTGTTAATTTTTAGGAAAGCTAAGAGCCATCTTATTAATTTTCTTAACCTATGTCAACTTATGAATGAAACGACAAAATGATGCTTGAATTCTTTTTCATAGCAAGAATTGCAAATGAAGTAAATGAGCTCTTCACTCGCCTATGCTTGTTTACAACACAAAAAGAAAGGATTTCGATATGTTGACATTTTTAATAATTACATTCGCTTTAAGAAATCAAGATAAAAAGGATTTAATCAATCGATCAATCTTCCTTCATAAAGCCTATTGATCCTTAAAGATTGTTGACGATATACGATCAACTAGGGTGCTTAATCATTAGCATGCTAACACCGATTCCTGCCACGCAAGTTATATTTTTTGAAGCATTTCACCCACTCATCAATCAACGAATCCCAAAATGGTGAAACGATAGAGGCTGAAGTTTGGACACCCAAGTCAGAAAGTAACGTATGCACTCTCTCCGATAGACACGAATCTGGGAAAGATGCCTCATGTACTTCTTCACATACAGGGCTTAATTTGAGAATGTAACACAAGGCAAGTGAGTGCTTTAATATTTATAACCTAGGTTAATTTTCCTAGTTTTTGGCATAAGTCTGGAAGTCGTACACTTCAACTTTTGAAAGCAGCTGAATTTACCAAGAGAAAAGCAAACATTCATAGCTTCATGGGGTTGGGCTGGGAGTCTTATTTTAGTCATGAATCCATCACTCAAAATTGGTTGACAAACGATTTCAATTTCCCTGATATTTACTGCAGCTTAAAAAGTGAATATCCTGGTGAAGAAGGAAAATTGGGTGTTTAGAAAATGGTGATTCATTGATCAAAATTATTCATTCATGGTTCTGAGATCTGGAGAGCCCAGTCTGAGGGGTTGGGGACTTATACTAATGCCTATCCCAGGAACTTCCTGGTCTGATGTTTAAATACTAATTTGAATAATTTTTACCAAATATAATAGAATTTTTAATAATTTCTCTTCCTCAGCCTATACTCTTGCTGTGGTTCATTGACAGAAGAGAACAGATAGGGTGGAGAATAATTATCTAAATTTGTCTCTTTTATAAGCTCACTAGGATGAAGCAAAAGATCTTCTCACCAAATCATGCTGTTTATATATTATACCTAATTTAAAAATTATTAAATATGTCCCAAAAGGCCCAAAAACTCATTGTATACTTTATCAAACAATGGAATAAATATAGGCACTTTTATTTATCTGAATTCATAATTGTTCGAATGTTCTCGTCTCCTTGAAGTGAAATTTTCAAACTCTTCCAATATCCCCTCAGGTCTCTCTTTTCAAACAAGAGGGTAGGCTTATGAGTGCCAATGGTTTCAGATTGTTAAGCTTTCAGAAACTCTGAAACAATGAGTGCCTCCTTAATAAAAATTAGAAAAAGCTATTCATCTTCTAATAGCCGACAATTAAGTTTCTGATTTATAAGGTTTTCAGAGATTCATGAACTTGGATAACAGTAGACTCCCGAAGCTATTTCGATAGTAAATAGAGTTGTTTAAACTCCTATTGCTCTAATAATTCGCAATCAATTCAGGGGAGAGACTCAGAGGGTTGTTTGAAATAATTTTCTGGTACCAACTTCAGAGATTTTTGATTCAATGTGGATGAATTTTATTAAAATAAGAAATTTACAACTTTTTCGTTGACTGAAACAATGAAAGAGTCCTCATCACAGGCAAGATTAAGACAATCAATTTTTACTAAAAATACCACCTAAAGTATTCAAAACGAAGTTATAATATTGAAACCTAGGTGGTAGTTCAAGTGAGACTCAAAGTTAATTAACTTTTTCAAATATTCTTCTATTTTTGGAATTTAGTAAAGAATTTAGCTCGAGACTACAGAATCACTCTCTCAAACTCGGTTGAAGCTTCTGATATTGGGACAGTTTAAAGTTTTACATGAAGTATTTTCAAAAATTATAAATAAACTGACAATTCATGAATAATTATTTTTAAAAACTTTAGTGGTTAATGAATCAAAGATGGTTCTGAAGCCTGAAGAACTCAACAAAGACTCTCAAAGAGACTTTACCACACCTGATAACTTAAGATATACTTAAAATCATGAATGGGAAGCCTTGCACTATGAAAGTACTCCTTAAGGAATGTAATCGCGACCATATAGCATAACTGTCATTGTTTTGCAAGCTTATTCTTACTCTGATTAATTGCTATTTTGCACTAATTCAAAATAACCTGTATGCTCATGCACCTGGATGAGGAGAACTTAAATTATGAGGAAGAAGTATTCATGAGATAAAGAAAGAAATTTCTTGATGCTTTTTCTATCCTCCAAAATGTCACCTATAAAGCCTAGACATGCCTATACTTACTCCCGTCAACTTCAGACGCTTTCTAGAAATCTAGCTGATGCTTGTAGTGATAAAGAGAAAAGAAATAGGACCCAATATTCTACATTCATGAAGTATGAAATAATATTTGTAGTTGCAACCTTCTTTCGATTACTTGGGGTTTTGGGGTTTTGGGGTTTTGGGGTTTTGGGG